AGCGTGTCCTTAGGTACAGTGCTTTCAGCCCCGCTATTCAACGCTGGACACGACAGGGTCCCAGCCAACTATGGTTCCGCTTTAGGGACAAACAGTACCGCCTCCCCTGCTGCTCCTGGGCTTGCCTGAAACCAAAACCTGAGCCTGTTGGACAAGCCACACTTCAGAACTAAGCCGCCTTCACTTTATCTCCCCAAACTGCGACAACAAACAACCAAGACCACAGCGCTGAGCAGCCCCACGCCTTCTCCTCCAGGATCACTTGCACCTCTAGTACTGGGCAGGTGCCTTCACGCTGAAGCAATAGAAGCCGAAAAGGAAAGCTGGCTCAGAAACAGAATTATCTTCCGGGCTTGGGGAGGGCACTCATTGGCAAGTGTGAGGCCCTGGGGTGCACTGCCAGCCACGAAGAGGGGGAATCTTTGAAAAGGAGGTGGGGAGACAAACAGCAGGTGGCTGGCTGTCGGGGCTGAGAAGAAAACCGGCGGTGACTAACTCTTTGTTCCGCCCTGCCCTTCTTCCCAAGCCAGGACCAGCCACTCTTTCCAGCGTGGGTAAGTGGGCCTCTGAAAGCCTCGGACTACCGGCAACATCAACGCAAAGGCTAATATTTACGGGGCTCCGACAGTCGTCACCTCTGCTCTCTAGCTTAGCGGGAGGCTACCAACGGGGGGTCAGAGTCGTTGGGACGTACCCAAGAGTGAGGTGTCCCTTAAAACGCACCCTGGGAGCCCATTCCCACGCCTGGGATGGGCCCGGGTGTTTGCATCGTAAGTGCACCCTCTCCGGTCCCCAGCAACGAACCTTGCTCCCCCAAAACGCCGGCTCGCCCACCCGCCCTGGGCTCCGCGCGGCCCGAGAACTTCCCCACTGGGACATTAAAGGGAGAACCCAGCCCCCACCCCTGCCTCCCAGCAGCGTCTGTCCGCAACCGAGCGCCCCTCGCCCAGCTCGCGCGTTCCCTGCGGGGGCCGGGACAAAGACCTCCGCAGCTGCCAGCCCAAGACCTGCGGACCCGCGCCATGCGCAGCGCACGCGCAGTGAGCCGCCGCGCGCCGGGGAGGCACGCTCGCACGCACCACGCACGCT